GTACAGTAGTATCACCCAGCACTGGATATATACTATATCTGTACAGTAGTTTCACCCAGCACTGGATATATAATATATCTGTACAGTAGTATCACCCAGCACTGGATATATACTATATCAGTACAGTAGTATCCCCCAGCCCTGGATATATACTATATCAGTACAGTAGTATCACCCAGCACACGATATATACTATATCTGTACAGTAGTTTCACCCAGCACTAACACCTGTTACGTAGACCCCTGTGTGTGTTGGCCACACTAGATGTGTCGTATTTGTACTTGTAGTTTAATTCCTACCGACAGTGACATTGCCTCCTTGCCTCACTTCCGACGAGATCAGTTGATGCTGACAAAGTTTCTTGGCAGTGGAGCCTTTGGAGAAGTGTTCGAGGGGTTGGCCAAAAACATTCTCAGCGACACGTCTGGTGAAACTAAGGTGGCAGTCAAGGTGAGTCAGAGTCATCTATAGTGGATACATGGTCATATGAGTAAGTACAAATCAGGTATTTTTTGTTCTTTACTTTTTCAAAAAAAGCATAGGATGTTGTTCCCTGTTCATTTGTCTCTCTGTCTTTGTAGACACTGGAATTAGCTTGTCCATCTGTCTGTCAGTCTGTCCATGGATAAGAACTCGTTTGAATAACTCCTCCTAAACTATTCAGCCTTTACAACGAAACCTATTATGCATGATCTGTACACTTTGCACTCCAGATGTTTATAAACCAGTTTTAATGTTTTTCCAGAGTTACTGGACTTTTTGTACCTGTCGGGACAATTTTCCAAAGTATATTCCTATGATTACAATGAATATTTCAGGGAGTGATACATAAGGGATAAACTTCAAATCAAATGGCCAACTTTTGATTTCTGGGATTCAAGCTGGACTCTATGGTTATAATTTGAGTTTTATAGGGCCAACTTCAATACAATTTGTGAAAGTTATACATAGGGGATACAATGAATATTAAAATGTTGACTTTTAAAGTTTGAAATTCAAGATGGCCACTGATTGGCCTGAGACATTAATAAAATGAAATTTAAAATGGGGGGAGGTGGGGAACGTTAGTGCCTGTGGCTTACATTGGGGGAGGTGGGGAACGCTAGTGCCTGTGGCTTACTGTGGGGGAGGTGGGGAACGTTAGTGCCTGTGGCTTACAGTGGGGGAGGTGGGGAACTTAAGTGCCTATGGCTTACAGTGGGGGGAGGTGGGGAACATTAGTGCCTGTAGCTTACTGTAGGGGGAGGTGGGGAACGTAAGTGCCTGTGGCTTACAGTTCTAGTCCAGTAGGTTACGGGTATACCCTTGATTCTTATTGCCTGTGACATGAATATGAACTGTACAGTATCTTCTCCAATATTTTGATGTGTTTGATTGACAGACAAGTTTGAAGGTGAGCAGAATATATATTGGTTATAACAGGCACTTCCTCAATTCAGATTGGTTGTCTCATTCCAGACAGTGTCATCTTTATCATTTATGTATGCCAATATACCAACACCATGTTCATTAACAAGATAGCCATGCCCAGGCTAAAGTTTGAAAGTGACTTTACACATCACAGGGACATTAATTGGTAATTAGAATTTTTGTTGTTTTGTAACATAGTAGTAAAATAAATGTCATAATCAAGGAAGATTGAGGTAATCACATACATGATTTGTCATTTTTTTTTTATGAAATACTGTGTTCATGGTTACAGACTTTAAGGAAGAGTGCATCCGATCATGAAAAGGAAGAGTTCCTAAAGGAAGCAGTCCTCATGAGCAACTTTAAACATGAGCATATCCTCAGTCTGCTCGGTGTGTGTCTCGACAACGACCCAGAGTTCATCATCTTGGAGCTGATGGAGGGTGGTGACCTCCTATCCTTCCTCCGTGCTTGTCGACCCTCAACGGTAGGTCAAAGTCACTGTTGCCTTGGTAACATATGATACCAATATATAAATGTCTGTATTGAATTTTATCCATTATACAGTACACTTGTCATATATGGATTTTTAATGTTTAATATTCAGATATAGATGGTACACTATGAATTATATTCCCAGGTAATATTCAGATTTAGATGATACAGTATTTACACTATGAAACAGATCTCCTGGTAATATTCAGATTTAGATGATACAGTATTACCGGTAACACTATGAAATAGATCTCCTGGTTATTACAGACCAACGCTGCATTCCTGTGTATCACAGACCTGGTAAAAATCTGCGTCCATGTGGCCCGAGGATGTAAATATCTGGAGGAGATGCACTTTGTCCACAGGTAACCCTTCTTTGTTTTCATGCAGAAGACATGTATAGAGAGAATACAGTAGATAATGATCACATTTTAAAATCATGCAGTAATTTGATTACCCCTAGCAATGATGTTTGTCCATCTTTTTGTGGACTGATAATTGTCCAGAACACTACTGCTAATCTTCTCAGATAATTGTAATGAAACTTAGTACTTGTGATCAGTATTTGTGCTCTTGTGACTACTTTGGCAGGAGTTAAGTCCCTTTAATGAATTCATTCTTTAAACTTTTTATGAAGTGCTGCTACTGAGCTTCATTGCCAATATTTATAAAACTTTGTACACATGATCAGTACCTTAGGTACTTGTGTTTTTGAAATCACTATTTTGAGTATTTCTATAGGAACTATGGCCTTTTCATGATTTCAGTAAATGAATTTGTCCAAATCACTGCTACTTGTATTCTGAGCCGAGATGGGTGAAACCTGATCAAATGACTGATACCTTAAGTAGTTGTGGGATTGTCATTCAGTTTTAATACTGTTATTTTTATATGAGAATTTTCCTTACTCTGATTTGTATGTGTGTGTCTTGTATGGCTGATAGTTATAGTTGACAGCCCAACCATCCTACTTTGTGTTTGGCATTGACAGGGACCTGGCAGCCAGAAATTGTCTTGTATCCAGTAAAACACCAGCAGACATGGTGGTGAAGATTGGTGACTTTGGTCTAGCCAGAGATATCTACAAAAATGATTACTACAGAAAGGAAGGGGAGGGTCTGCTCCCTGTGCGATGGATGTCCCCGGAGGCACTGGTGGATGGGGTGTTCACCACACAGTCCGACATCTGGTGAGTTATCTCCCTTGAATGAAGTTTTTTTAATTAGGGGTTTATATAGTGTTCATCTTAGTCAAGACCAGTAAAAGTTATTCTCTTATAAGGTAGCAATCATTTCATATTGTAAAGACATAAAAACATAACTTTAACTTTTTCCTTGTCCTCTCTTCCATTAATCATGAAATACTTGCATTATTTGAAGTGAGAAAATCAACCCACGTACAGGTTGTTTGAAGTGAGAAAATCACCCCACATTGGATTTGTTTGAGGTGAATTGATCAATAATCCCTGTAAATTTACAGGGCATTTGGCATTCTGATTTGGGAGGTGATGACCTTTGGACGACAGCCATATCCAGCCAGAACCAACATTGAGGTCCTTCATTATGTACGATCCGGCGGTCAGCTAGAGCAGCCCGAGGGCTGTCCCGAGGAGCTGTGAGTATAGTCCACACAGATCAACAGGGACGTCAATCAGGGTTTAAGTGTTCCAAACATCTAGAGCAGTATTTAAAGGGGAGATTAATATAATCTTCCCCTGCCTTGAGGGTGTGACAGAGAAATCTCCAACCCGAGGAATGATGTTTTTTGGTTGTCTAACCCGAGGCTCTGCCGAGGGTTAGATAACCAAAAAAATCACTCCGAGGGTTGGAGATTTCTCTGTTACACCCTCAAGGTAGGGGATGATTATTTTTCTCTCATCCTACTATTTCAGTCGAAGCTCCACCGAAAGTAGTCTGCCATGTTTGTAAACAAAAACACATGTGGGGTATGCATGTCGTCATTCACTTTTGATGACGTCACAATTACTGATGACACATTTTAATGACGTCACAATTGAACATGTGCTAATCGGGACAAGGCTATCTCCCCATAGGGGGTGACAAGCTGATATTTCCCGGTTAAAACGGGAGACACACCTGTGAAGGGTGAGAGAAAACAAGGTCTGTTGTATTGCATCCTGTCCTGCTTGAAAATCAAACCCAGCTTGAAGGAATAATTTTGTTGTCAGATAGTTAAGTAAAAAGAGAAGCATTCAGTGTAATCCAGACATTCTGTTTCTAGTCAAGTCTGCTCCTCAGTCCCTGTAGGACAAAAGTCTGCTCCTCGGTCCCTGTAGGACAGAAGTCTGCTCCTCGGTCCCTGTAGGACAGAAGTCTGCTCCTCGGTCCCTGTAGGACAGAAGTCTGCTCCTCGGTCCCTGTAGGACAGAAGTCTGCTCCTCGGTCCCTGTAGGACAGAAGTCTGCTCCTCGGTCCCTGTAGGACAGAAGTCTGCTCCTCGGTCCCTGTAGGACAGAAGTCTGCTCCTCGGTCCCTGTAGGACAGAAGTCTGCAAGTAGTCACCTTTCTTTATAGTATTTCCTTTCATACTTATTTTTTGTAAGGTCCTGTGAATAAGAATGAAATCTACCATTTGTATGTGTTGAAGTTTAGGTGACAAAGTTAATTGAAAATGACGTATTTCCGCCTTTGTTATCAGCTTCCAGATGATGCGGACTTGTTGGGTGGAGGCCGAGGACCGTCCTTCATTTTCTGCCGTTCTCCAACAGCTTGAGGATTTCCACGAAAAGTGTGTGTCGCTGTTTGCTGACTATATTGTCCCTATCCGCTCTCGAACATTCAACCCTGATGGTAAGTTCAGTAAAATGTCTGCAACATTTTTCAACCTCAAGCAACGTCATTTTAGTTGGCTATTGCTGGCAAAATCTAAGGTTGATAATATATTAATTCTGACTGTTAATCCATTCAGTATTTTTCAGAAAATGTCAACAGTAGATTTTTCGAAGATGGGGAAAGTAGTTGATAGATATTTACAGAAAAACTGGTAACAGTGGTGGACTCTGACACAAATTCAGGGAGTGTGGGTTACAGAAAAACTGGTAACAGTGGTGGACTCTGGCACAAATTCAGGGAGTGTGGGTAGAAACAAAGAAAACTGGTAACAGTGGTAGACTCTGACACAAATTCAGGGAGTGTGGGTAGAAACAAAGAAAACTGGTAACAGTGATGGACTCTGACACAAATTCAGGGAGTGCGGGTAGAAACAAAGAAAACTGGTAACAGTGGTGGGCTCTGACACAAATTCAGGGAGTGTGGGTAGAAACAAAGAAAACTGGTAGCAGTGGTGGACTCTGACACAAATTCAGGGATTTTGTGTAGAAACAAAGCTAACTGGTATCAGTGATGGACTCTGACACAAATTCAGGGAGCGTGGGTAGAAACAAAGAAAACTGGTAACAGTGGTGGACTCTGACACAAATTCAGGGAGTTTGTGTAGAAACAAAGCTAACTGGTAACAGTGATGGACTCTGACACAAATTCAGCGAGTGCGGGTAGAAACAAAGAAAACTGGTAACAGTGGTGGACTCTGACACAAATTCAGGGAGTTTGTGTAGAAACAAAGCTAACTGGTATCAGTGATGGACTCTGACACAAATTCAGGGAGTGTGGGGAGAAACAAATTAAAGAAAACTGGTAACAGTGATGGACTTTGACACAAATTCAGGGAGTGTGGGTAGAAACAAAGCTAACTGGGACCAGTGATGGACTCTGACACAAATTCAGGGAGTGTTGGTAGAAACAAAGAAAACTGGTAACAGTGGTGGACTCTGACACAAATTCAGAGAGTGTGGGTAGAAACAAAGAAAACTGGTAACAATGGTGGACTCTGACACAAATTCAGGGAGTGTGGTTAGAAACAAATTAAAGAAAACTGGTAACAGTGATGGACTCTGACACAAATTCAGGGAGTGTTGGTAGAAACAAATTAAAGAAAACTGGTAACAGTGATGGACTCTGACACAAATTCAGGAAGTGAGGGTAGAAACAAATTAAAGAAAACTGGTAACAGTGATGGACTCTGACACAAATTCAGGGAGCGTGGGTAGAAACAAAGAAAACTGGTATCAGTGATGGACTCTTGACACAAATTCAGGGAGCGTGGGTAGAAACAAAGAAAACTGGTATCAGTGATGGTGGTAACAGTGGTGGACTCTGACACAAATTCAGGGAGCGTGGGTAGAAACAAAGAAAACTGGTATCAGTGATGGTGGTAACAGTGGTGGACTCTGACACAAATTCAGAGAGGGTGGGTAGAAACAAAGAAAACTGGTAACAGTGGTGGACTCTGACAAAATTCAGGGAGTGTGTGTAGAAACAAAGCTAACTGGTATCAGTGATGGACTCTGACACAAATTCAGGGAGAGTGGGTAGAAACAAAGAAAACTGGTATCAGTGATGGACTCTGACACAAATTCAGGGAGGGTGGGTAGAAACAAAGAAAACTGGTAACAGTGATGAACTCTGACACAAATTCAGGGAGTGTGGGTAGAAACAAATTAAAGAAACTGGTAACAGTGGTGGACTCTGACACAAATTCAGAGAGGGTGGGTAGAAACAAAGAAAACTGGTAACAGTGGTGGACTCTGACACAAATTCAGAGAGGGTGGGTAGAAACAAAGAAAACTGGTAACAGTGGTGGACTCTGACAAAATTCAGGGAGTGTGTGTAGAAACAAAGCTAACTGGTAACAGTGGTGGACTCTGACACAAATTCAGGGATTTTGTGTAGAAACAAAGCTAACTGGTATCAGTGATGGACTCTGACACAAATTCAGGGAGGGTGGGTAGAAACAAAGAAAACTGGTAACAGTGGTGGACTCTGACAAAATTCAGGGAGTGTGGGTAGAAACAAAGCTAACTGGTAACAGTGATCGACTCTGACACAAATTCAGGGAGTGTGGGTAGAAACAAATTAAAGAAACTGGTAACAGTGGTGGACTCTGACACAAATTCAGAGAGGGTGGGTAGAAACAAAGAAAACTGGTAACAGTGATGAACTCTGACACAAATTCAGGGAGTGTGGGTAGAAACAAAGAAAATTGGTAACAGTGGTGGACTCTGACAAAATTCAGGGAGTGTGGGTAGAAACAAAGCTAACTGGGACCAGTGATGGACTCTGACACAAATTCAGGGAGTGTGGTTAGAAACAAATTAAAGAAAACTGGTAACAGTGATGGACTTTGACACAAATTCAGGGAGTGTGGGTAGAAACAAATTAAAGAAAACTGGTAACAGTGATGGACTCTGACACGTAACAGTGATGGACTCTGACACAAATTCAGGGAGCGTGGGTAGAAACAAAGAAAACTGGTATCAGTGATGGTGGTAACAGTGGTGGACTCTGACACAAATTCAGGGAGCGTGGGTAGAAACAAAGAAAACTGGTATCAGTGATGGACTCTTGACACAAATTCAGGGAGCGTGGGTAGAAACAAAGAAAACTGGTATCAGTGATGGACTCTTGACACAAATTCAGGGAGTGTGGGTAGAAACAAAGCTAACTGGTAACAGTGATCGACTCTGACACAAATTCAGGGAGTGTGGGTAGAAACAAATTAAAGAAAACTGGTAACAGTGATGGACTCTGACACAAATTCAGGGAGTGTGGGTAGAAACAAATTAAAGAAAACTGGTAACAGTGATGGACTCTGACACAAATTCAGGGAGTGTGGGTAGAAACAAAGAAAACTGGTATCAGTGATGGACTCTGACACAAATTCAGGGAGTGTGGGTAGAAACAAAGCTAACTGGTAACAGTGGTGGACTCAAACTCCGGGTCTGTGGGTAGAACCGGAGATATCGGGATATACCACCTAATCCTGTGGTCCTTATCTAGCCACTACCTGACTTATATTTATATATAATTCCGCAGGATCTTTATAAACAAATATAACTCATAGTATTCATATACAATGCATGAAATATATATATATCCTCGGATCTTATTAATTCCTATTACATGTATACATATATAAAATGCATGAAATATATATATAGATACTCCAGATCTGACTGTAAGTGCTAGCTATGTTTAGTGCTGGTTCAGGCCTACAGTGAATGTTATATATTTTATAGATTGGTGCATGCTATGTTAATTAGTGCTGGTTCAGGCCTACAGTGAATGTTATATATGCATTGTATAGATTGGTGTTTGATATATTTTGTGTAGAACTGAACATTCCTCTTTAATGTATTTACATGTATAAGTTTATACTGTTTGATTTGAAACAATCACAAACAACTGGTGAACGTTCTGGGATCTAGATGGTAAACACTCGAAGATACTTCTATCATTTTACAAACTATACTGCCAGTGATGATTATCAGGATACATGTAGCTGTGTAGTAGTTATCAGGATACATGTAGCTGTGGAGTAGTTATCAGGATACATGTAGCTGTGTAGTAGTTATCAGGATACATACAGCTGTGTAGTAGTTATCAGGATACATGTAGCTGTGGAGTAGTTATCAGGATACATGTAGCTGTGTAGTAGTTATCAGGATACATGTAGCTGTGGATTAGTTATCAGGATACATGCAGCTGTGGAGTAGTTATCAGGATACATGTAGCTGTGTAGTAGTTATCAGGATACATGCAGCTGTGTAGTAGCTATCAGGATACATGTAACTGTGTAGTAGTTATCAGGATACATGTAGCTGTGTAGTAGTTATCAGGATACATGTAGCTGTGTAGTAGTTATAAGTATCTGTCAGGCACACCATTTTACTGCCTTTAATTATGCGGAACAAATTCTAATTGAGTTGATTAAATAGGTTCAGCCAGCAGGCAGAGCCTTCTCTCAGGATACAATAAAACATATCAACAAGGAAATAGTTCTTTTTTAATAGTGAGTAAATAGTTCTATTCTAATAGAGAGTAATTAGTTGTATTCTAATAGTGAGTAAATAGTTCCATTCTAATAGTGAGTAAATAGTTCCATTCTAATAGTGAGTAAATATTTCCATTCTAACAGTGAGTTAATAGTTCTATTTTAATAATGAGTTAATAGTTCCTTTCTAATAGTGAGTAAATAGTTCTGTTCTAATAGTGATTATATAGTTCTGTTCTAATAGTGAGTAAACAGTTCTATTCTAATAGTGAGTTAATAGTTCTGTTCTTCTAATAGAGAGCAAATAGTTCTATTCTAATAGTGAGTAAATAGTTCCATTCTAATAGTGAGTAAATAGTTCCATTCTAATAGAGAGTAAATAGTTCTGTTCTTCGAATAGTGAGTAAATAGTTCTATTCTAATAATGAGTAAATAGTTCCATTCTAATAGTGAGTAAATAGTTCCATTCTAATAGTGAGTAAATAGTTCTGTTCTTCTTATAGTGAGTAAATAGTTCCATTCTAATAGTGAGTAAATAGTTCTATTCTAATAGTGAGTTAATAGTTCTTTTCTAATAGAGAGTAAATTTGAACATGGCTACTTAATTCAGTCAAGGAAGTTGATCAACACCATAACAGGGGATTATCATCCTTTACCTTACTGTCCAAAATGTATACAAACACAGAAGTATACTGGCTAGTTCAGACTACAATGATGATAAACATTTACTGGCACCACATTGGATGGCATGGTACACATTAACTTGACTGAGAAGTTAGGTGACATTGTTAACATCAAATAGACAGACTACAATGATGATAAACATTTACTGGCACCACATTGGATGGCATGGTACACATTAACTTGACTCAGAAGTTAGGTGACATTGTTAACATCAAATAGACTTCAGTATGTGATGTATTGTGACTGTTTTTATTTTGATTTGCATGAAGGGCCATATGGACACATATATTACCAGGCCCTGAACAGGTGATGCTGGTTTCTGTGGTATAGTGGATGTCGTATCTAATAGCACTGTCATATTTGACTAATTATAATTCAACTAGTTCGATTATAAAGCAATGCAAGGGAAAGTTGAATTTTGGGAATTGATATTATATAAGATCAATTTAGAAAAGTTGAATATGTTTTATTGATCAGTGATAATGATAATAGGAAAAAATACCTAAAAAACATTTCATCCCAATTTAGAAGTAAAAGCCATTAATGATTGCTTGGTCAAGTATGGCTTAAATGTTTTCTGTTAGATTTAGTTTTGCTTGCTTTTATTGGTTACAGATCGGCATTTATTTCTGGTTGTTGTAGCCATTTGTCTGCATGAGCTTGTCACCGATGTCTGTATGAACATGTCACCTGTGTCTGTATGAACATGTCACCTGTGTCTGTATGAACATGTCACCTGTGTCTGTATGAACAAGTCACCTGTGTCTGTATGAACATATCACCTGTGTCTGTATGAACATGTCACCTGTGTCTGTATGATCATGTCACCTGTCTCTGTATGAACATATCACCTGTGTCTGATCATGTCACCTGTCTCTGTATGAACATGTCACCTGTGTCTGTATGAACATGTCATCTGTCTCTGTATTAACATGTCACCTGTGTCTGTATGATCATGTCACCTGTGTCTGTATTAACATGTCACCTGTGTCTGTATGAACATGTCACCTGTCTCTGTATTAACATGTCACCTGTCTCTGTATGAACATATCACCTGTGTCTGATCATGTCACCTGTCTCTGTATTAACATGTCACCTGTGTCTGTATGAACATATCACCTGTGTCTGTATGAACATGTCACCTGTGTCTGTATGATCATGTCACCTGT